AGGCGGGTGGATCACGAGGTCAAGAGATCGAGACCATCCTGGTCAACATGGTGAAACCCCGTCTCTACTAAAAATACAAAAAATTAGCTGGGCATGGTGGCGCGTGCCTGCAATCCCAGCTACTCAGGAGGCTGAGGCAGGAGAATTGCCTGAACCCAGGAGGCGGAGGTTGCGGTGAGCTGAGATCGCACCATTGCACTCCAGCCTGGGTAACAAGAACAAAACTCCATCTCAAAAAAAAAAAAAAAAGACAACGATGAAGTTTGCTACCTCCATCAGTTGACTCTTCCTTTCTTGAAAGATTTCTCTGCAGTACAGGAGTTGACAGCACTTTGCCCACCACAGAACTTCACTCAGAATTGGAAGCAATCCTCTCAAACCATACCACTACTATATCAACTAAGTTCATATAATATTCAAATCTGTTGTTGTTTCAACGATGTTTACAACATCTTTACCAGGAATACATTCCATCTCCAGAAGCTGCTTTCTTTTTTATTTTTTGAGACAGGGTACCACTCTGTCACCCAGGCTGGAGTGCAGTGGTGTGATCATGGCTCACTACAGTCTTGACCTCCCAAAGCTCAGGTGATCCTCCTGCCTCAGTCCCCTGAATAGCTGGGACTACAGGCATATGCCACCCATGCCCAGGTCATTTTTGTATTTTTAGTAGAGATGAGTTTTTGTCATGTTGCCCAGGCTGGTCTCGAACTCCTGGGCTCAAGTGATACACCTGCCTCTGCCTCCCAAGTGTTGGGATTACAGGCATAAGTCACCACACCCAGCCCAGAAACTACTTTCTTTGCTCATCCACAACAAGCAAGTCATCATCCATTCATGTTTTATTGTGAGACTGCAGCAATTCAGTCACATTTTAGACCCCACTTCTAATTCTAGTTCTCTTGCTATTTCTACCACATCTGCAGTTACTTCCTTCACTAAAGTATTGATTCCTTCAACGTCATCCATGAAGGCTGGAATCAACTTCTTCCAAACTCCTGTTACTGTTGATATTTTGACCTTCTCTCATGTGTCGCCATGTTCTTCATGGCATCTATAATGGCACATGCTTTCCAGAAGGTTTTCAATTTATTTGGCCTTAATCTGTCCAGGAAATCACTATCTATGGCAGTTATAGACTTACAAATTGTATTTCTTACATAATAAGACTTGAAGGTCAAAATCACTCCTTCATCCAAGGGCTACAGAATGAATCTTGTGCTAGCAGCCATGAAAACAACATTAATCTCCCTATACATCTCCCTTAGGGCTCTTGGATGACTACGTACATTGTCAATGAGCAGTAATATTTTGAAAGGAATCTTTTTCTGAGTAGTAGGTCTCAACAGTGGGCCAAAAATATTCAGTAAAACCAGCCGGGCGCAGTGGCACACGCCTATAATCCCAGCACTTTGGGAGGCTGAGGCAGGTGGATCACAAGATCAGAAAATTGAGACTGTCCTGGCTAACACGGTAAAACCCCATTTCTACTAAAAATACGAAAAAAATTAGCCAGGCGTGGTGACACACACCTGTAGTCCCAGCTACTCTAGAGGCTGAGGCAGGAGAATCGCTTGAACCCGGGAAGTGGAGGTTGCAGTGAACCAAGATCGTGCCACTGCACTCTAGCCTGGGCAACAGAGCAAGAGTCTGCATCAAAAAAAAGAAAAGAAAAGAAAATTCAGTAAACCCTGTTGTATACAGATGTGCTATCATCCAGGCTTTGTTGATCCACTAATAGAGCACAGGCAGAGTAGATTTAGCATAAATCTGAAGGGTCTTAGGATTCTCATAATAGTAAAAGAGCATTTGTTTCAACTTAAAGTCACTAGCTACATTAGCTCCTAACAAAAGAATCAGTCTGTCCTTCGAAGTTTTGAAGCCAGGTTTCTTACTATGTATGAAAGCCCTAGGCCGGGCGCGGTGGCTCAAGCCTGTAATCCCAGCACTTTGGGAGGCCGAGGCGGGTGGATCACGAGGTCAAGAGATCGAGACCATCCTGGTCAACATGGTGAAACCCCGTCTCTA